GCGGTACTGCCCGGGCACAGAGCCCGAACGTGGAAGTAGTAATACATTCCGCGCTGTCCCACAGGAGTTTGCCTAAAGTGCCTCAAGTGGCTTTGCCGCTTTTTTTTCCCGTTTATTTCTTTTTTTTTGTGGTAAATTTCTTTTGAGATGGTTTAGAGATGGAAAGCTGGAGCTAGTGGGTTTTATCCTGTTTCCTTCACAGAAGTTCTGAAACGTTTTGGACGACGACGGGCATGTTCCCCCAGGAATTCATTATTGGTTTCCCTAAATGCGTGAAAATCAGCAAAGTTGCAATTCAGTGTTATTTGGGTAAGGCTTCACGCGTCGCAGTATGTAATACGTACATGTGTCTGTGCCTATGTATGTATATTCTCAGAGTGGTGTCATTCTCCAGGCAGCCACTTGTAAGGGATTCATAAGGTATCAGCTTCACAAAGCAATTTTCCTTCATGTCTGAAATTTTTCATAAATAAACCAGAAAAAGATGGAAAGTCCACCCCACCTGCACTTCCTTTGTTCTTAAAACAAAGCTTAAAATTAACTGTTCTTGTTTCACAGTGATGATGGTTCTAATTTGATGGGAAGGACTACAGTACTTGGTCTTGTAATAATTTATTTTAAGTATTAATTTTTATAATTTCATAGGATAGAACTCTCTTGGTATTTTTTAAATAATGTGAAGGAAAATGTGAATTCTAAACCGGAAAGGACTGTTCTAAGGTCAGCATGGATACAGCTTGACCATAAGCAGAGGCTACACAAAAGACATAAAAATTTTACGTTGTTTGTCCACCCTGGAACACGGGGATTGTGGTGTATTACAGCCCTGCCTCATCAGTTAGAGGAAGAATAGATTAATGAATGGATTTCAAGTGCTTTGTAGATGAAAGGTGATGGAATGAATACCATTATCAATAACGAATACGAATTTGTGTTAATATTTTAAATACATATATATTTTAGTGCGGACCTTAAGGATTGAAAGAAGCGTATCCAAAGACCCAGTAGATTTTGAACAGTGTGTTGAAAAAGGTAAGATTCTGAATCTGAAGCAGCAGGGACTTTGTGGGAATAATGTTGATCTTTTTCAGTGAGTCGTCTTAACCCCCTGTCTATTTGTTGAGTAGTCACATGTGGCTCGATGATTATTTTATTAGATTTTAATGTAATAGTCACATTTAAATGGAGCTCGTGAACACTGTTGGTCTCTGTAGTGGTTTGGAGATATAAAATGCTGTATAAGGGCTAAAAGCACTGCGTGTGCCCTCGCTTTTATGTTCCAGAAATTAAACCCAGACTTAAATGATATAATAGAGTGCCATTTTCTTCATTGTTTGTTTGGCTGGCTTTTGTTTTCTTTTTAAATGCCTCTTGAGTGATGTTTTATAAAACAGTGTAATGAGTGGTGTGTATGTATATACACTGGGATATTGCAAAAAGTATCTGTTCTCTTAAATCACCTTGTGAAAGAAAAAGAAATAAATTTCTGTAGGCATTCTAATCTCCTGGTCCTTGAACTTTGTTGAACTCTGAAGTCCAATGAAAACTTTGGACAGCGTTGCACATTATTCTTAATTATTTGCTTTAAAATATATTTTCTAGATTTGCAGCACACAGAAGGACAGCTGCAGATGGAAGAATTCCCAGTGAGTATTTACAGTTTACATCAGTAGTGGTTCATGAAATGGGTTGTCTAGGCTAACTGGGGAGAAAAGGTCTCTTCCGACCAAAAGTGTTCTGTGATTCTATGAAAAAACAAAACGTGTCTTTATTTACAGTTATTTCTAAGTTGATGTTAAGATACGGGAACTTGCAGGCCATGGTATGAAATTACATGCCATGATTGCCTCTTTGTAGATTATGGTATGAAATGGCACCTGCCTACTGCTCCTAACTGTGTGAAAGAGCTCTTTGCAGAAGTGTGGCAGTCTTCCCTCCTTCAGCTCTTGCTTTTAAGGCTGCAGTATTCAGGAGGGGTGGGACTTTTTTGAATTGCTGTCATCTAAAGAAACTAAAGCTGGCTAGATCTGTTAAAGGAGTTTGATTTATTTGTAATTGTAAACCAGACACAGGAATATCTAGATTCTTTTGTCTAACAAACTTCTGCAAATGTTGTTTGATAGTTGTGTTACCACAGAAAATGCAATAACTTTACATTTTTCCTTGTACAGCTTCCTGATTTCCAAGCCACTTACTTGCGTTTCATTATCAAATCTGGCTTTGATCATTTTGTATCAGTGCACCGGGTGATGGCAGAGGGCACAGCAGAAGACACTTAAGTCCAGCTTAAATTTGTACCTTTTTTTTTCTTTTTGTAAAGAAGTTACGTTTTGTATCTGTAGTGCAGATAATATTTGGAATTAAAAACTTGTATTAAAGTGTTTTTTGAAGGTAATGATGTAGTATGTATTCCTCACCAGCTTAATATATCTAATAGAATAGAATCATTTAGGTTGAGAAAGACCGTTAAGATCAGCAAGTCCAACTGCAATAACTCTTGTTAATTGTAGTAACAGCTCTCTAGTTTTATAACCTAAGCTGTTACCTTAGAACAGCTGAACGTAACTGAGTTTAGATTAGTATGTTTATATCAGGCTTTCTTAATATATGAATTAAAACTCAATTTCCTGTAAAATCTTGCCCTTGCATTCTGAGTTAAATAGGGAAAAAAAAAAGTGAAATACTTAAATGGTCCTACTGTCAAACAAATCCTTCAAGAGTTCTTAAATTGGTAACTTTCTCATCAGCTCAAACTGTTCTAGATTAATGGCATGACTATAAATGTTTACTAATGCTTAGAAATAACCTGGAAGGGCAGGGCGGGAAGGGAAATAATCTGAAGCCATATGAAGTGCTCTGATAGATTTTTAATAATTGTAGATCAATCCCTTGTTTCTATAAACATTTTCTCCAGTCGGGTCACAGCCGTCTGTGCTTTGAGTTGTGACCGTCATAACAAATATTAATAGAAACAGTTGCAAACAGAGATTGTCTTACTCAGAAGCCTTCTGAAGTCAGTGCAAGTGAACATTTAGGAAAATTATGTATACAAAAGTATGCATAGAAAAATGATGTATACAGATGTATACAAGAGACACCTTAACAATGTGAAATGGGGTGTTTTGCCTGCTAGTCTGTTTTTGCAGATGTCACGACCCATGAAGTTTATCCTGCAGGATATTCCTTGCAAATGCAAACATCGGGATCCCACCCTGACAGCTCAATGGACCCAACTACAAGTCGTCACTGCATGTGGTGTAAATGTAGTAAGATACTGCAGTGCTGTAGTTTGGGTTGTAGTGATGAGACTTGAAAACCTCTAGACAAACACATAATGAACCATGTTACAGATGCTCCCTAAATACATATACATTCGTCTTTTGTTGTCTCTGCTGTTAACCTCTTTGTTTTCTTCTTAGGTCTCTGAAAACTTTTTCACTGAGCTTTTTTATCCAGGTAGTCTTTACTCTGAGGTCCTCCTCTTTTTCTACTTCAGTTTTTCCAGGATGGCGCGTATTTCCTGGGGGTGATAATTCCAAGGCCCCGCTCCTCCCTGCAAAGGCAATAAAACTGTATAGTGAAGGTCGAACAGGCCAAGCACAAGCCCTGTAGAGTGCAGCAGCTGCACCACAACCGTGGACACGATGTGCTTGGGCTTCCTTCTTGTGGCAGCTGTCGCATGGGAGACGGTGTATGTACAGGTTACACCCTGCTGTGTAAATGGGACAGGGCCAATGTCTGGATCCTGGAGCTGGAACGTGTTCCTGGATCTTAGATGTACCTAGTTTCCTGATGAGGCAAAAGATAAATATTTGAGCAAGACTGAGGTACATCAAATACGTACATTATAAAGGCTCGGACTGGCTTTGCTGCAGGTCCTTTTCTCTCCACAGTTACAGTGAAATGTAAAATTTTTAGCTCTTGAATGAAATACTGACTGCTAAATGTAAAGCATCCTCAAATTATTCTGGAATTTTAAAATCTTAGTATATTGTGCTCCTTTTTATTGTTGATATTTTTTACCTTGTAGACAACCTTCCCTCCTTGAAGTAGATAGAGTCGTTCTGGCAAAGCAGCGTATTTTGAACTGCTCAGGTTTTCCATGGTGTCTAAAACCACTGGACATAAAGGATTATTTTTCTGAAGAAATTGTGCTGCGATTTTTCGATCTTCAAGGCTTCTGTGATTTTTAATAACGATATTGTTTTTAAAAGCCCATCCATCTAAAACAGATGAGAAATGGATTTAGGAAGCAATATTTTGAACAGGTGTTAAGGGCGACTGTTTGTCATATCCCAAAACTATGTGGAAAAAATACACAAATTGTTCCTAACACCAAAACTTACCATGAAACAAAAGCCCCCTCTCCCCTTGGAGTATGAGAACACTAAAGTTTTTCAAGTAAGTGGTCCCAAGATCTAGGTGTTTGAGTGTTTTTCAAGTTCAACAAACTCTTATTTTCCCCTTGCCCTGGATTCAGAAATATTTGCTGTGTTTTAGCTGAAATTTTCCCACATTTATCAATCCTAGAAAGACAGCAGGTGGTGGACATATATCCAAGTTGCGTAAGGTTTGCTAAAATTATTGGCACAGAGGGGATTTTGAAAGGGTGAGTAGTGCTATCAGCTGATCCTCATTCATTTAGGAGCATTGTGTGTAACTCCTCCTTGTAAAGGAGAAACTTGTAGCAGGTTTTGATGACTGAGTTACTACGTGTTTCTCAACTACTTAAAGTGATGTATCGTTACAAAACTTGAAAATTTTAGAGGTTATCTTTTAGGAAACCACCTTAACTCTGAGATGAAATCAGTGCCAATGGGTTACCTGGAGTCCAGTGTTGATAAAGAGTGTGTATAGTTTGCTCCATTTTTCAAATTAGAGTCTGCATCCCGTTCCTGAGACATGTTAATTATTATTTTGTTTAAACACATAATTTGCTGGCATCATACACTTAGCCTTTCTATGAAATGCTTTTTTTTTTTTTTTTAACTCTTCCGAAAGGAGCTGTCTTAACACTGAGAGGAAGCTGTGTAAAGATAGAACTATGTGCTTCACCTTCACAGAGATGAGTGTCTTCAGCAGAGAGACCTGAGAGTAAAGTCAGATGTGTGAGTAAAATCTGTGGAGAATTAGGGACACAAACTGCTGCCTAGATTTAGTGTCACCACTTTTGATTTGAGGAAGATTTCTTTCCCATTTGCAGTTCCCTCCTTTGCCAACACACTTTTCTTCCTTAAGGGAGAGATATGTGGCTGAAATTTTGGGAGGCGTTACTGTGATGTTTGTACCGTACCTGCTGCATGAGCTTCTTCGATGTAGATGATAAGGAAATCTGCTATCGAGCTGAAATCTTTGACGAGCTTGTTGAACTCATCAAATTTTAACATAAACGAAGGTCAGGTGCAGCTTCCAAAATTCAGGATTAAAGGTCGGTTATCTAGGAAAAAAAATAAAAAGGACAGTTTGTGGTTAAATCAGTGGTGGGAGCAAGGACAGAAGTAAAAGAGACTTTTCAAAGGGCAGGGATTTAGGGATGGACACCAAGGCAGAGTTTTAATGCCTTTTAATGAACCAATTGGACTTTTTCGAGGCTGAGCTGAGTGGAGGCTGCAGGCTTTTGAGTTGTGTGTCACAGGCTTGCATGCTTTCAAGGTATTTCTGCAATTTCCTGTCCAAACAGAACTCTGGTTATATATTATCATTTATTAAATCAATGTTACACAAACCACGGGCAAAAGTGTCTATACAGTTGCTTCCAAATTAACGCAGTGTGTGCCCAGAGGTGTTACCATCTGTTTACAAGGGGTTGTTTTAAGAGAACTTGCAGAATTTTTAAGTATCTATTGTAGTCTATGCTAAATTACCTGAAATTTGTTCAAGATCTCCCTTCTGGCTGGCCTTAACCTCAAAGACTGCTGCTAACGTAGATCCACATCCTAAAGAAACTAATAAAGAGCGGCACCTTCCTGTAGATACTGTGTATCTGTTTTCCAAATTTGCATCCTGTTTTCTGCATAAATACATATATATATATATATAATGAGAAAAGCAGAGTTGGAGAAGGATGTAATCCCTCCCATGGAGATTGAGACTGCAGCTTAATGATTAATTCCACATTCTATAGAGATCTCCGTGGGAGGCAGTGGGCAAAGTACAAAGCAGCTACTTTTTCTTTTGCTTTATTTCTAGTCACTTTGAATCTGGAGAAAAAAACCCACCAATGAACCATCATGTGCTTTCTACACTTTAGGCTGGCTAAGGGAGCTGGTGTGGGGCTTTCTGTAGGTACAGGGAGTGACAGCCAGCGCTCAGAAATCACTGCACATGGTTCCGATTCTGGGTCTTCTATCCCTAAAACAAATTATCTTGACTTTCAGTGAAGAGGTGTTTCCTAGCAGAGACAGCTTTTGCAAGAGGTTCATAATCTCCCTGGTGTGAAGGGGTGTTGTAGCCAGGACGATAAACACAGGTTGTTTTGAAAATCAAGCGGCAGAGAGCTGGAGAGAATGTGCACCACCTTCCCCATCAAGTGAACCTCTGGTCTGCCCTGCCAGGTGCTCTCACGCTGGCTGCCTGTCCCTGCTCCCTCGGCAGCCTCTTCTCATTTTCCGTCTCGGCAAAGCAAACCCAGCTATCAGCTCGTTGACTGACCTTGCATGAAGTCAAAGAGATGACGGACATCCCCATCGGAAGTCACCACCGGCGTGTTGGGAGCAGGATGTCCCTCGTGGGCTTCATCCTCCAGCCTCTTCCACTTCACCTTCAGCACAAAGAGCAAATACTTGAAGCTGAAAAAAGTCGGACCCCAGTTTTCGTAGCTGAACTTTGGATTCTGATTCATTCTGCTCTTTTCACCCAGTTTCAGGATGTGTCTTTTCATGGCGTTGGGGAACAGTATCATCAGCGTTTTGCCGATGACAACAGATGCAGTGACATGCACGAGGATCAGGATTTTTTCTAGGAAAACCCGGAGGCTGAACATTGTGGTGGTGGAGGAAGCCTGACCTCTTCCAACAGAGCGAAGCACAATGGCAGGGGCAAAGGTAGAGTGCGAGGGGGAGGAAAAATGCCCACGTGTTTAGCCAAGTTTCTGCCTCGCCTTGCTGGCCGTCACCTCCCCACAGGCCTCAGAGCCTGCCAGCCATGCCGAGGGCCCCCCCCCGTGCCTACGCCCCGCCCAGCCATGCTGAGGGCAGCCGTGGTGGATTTGTAGTACTAACCACACGGTTCTAAAGTTTATCCACAAATTTGTTTTTTGTGTTTTGTCCACAAGGGCTGAATTGGGATGTTTCCCCTGAACTAGGTAATAACCCTGGGAGCTGTTACACTCAGACCTCACGAGTTTTCGCACGGGACCTTCGAAGCTGATGCACGGGAGCTGGGGCTGGCGCAC